CATCCAATTCGGACCGGTGGATCGAAAGTTATTAAGGATATTGTGTTTTTCCTTAATGTTTTATAGGTCAACAATATAAATTGTAATCTTTTATCTTCTGCTTTACTAAACATATCTACTAAATATTTATTAAATAGTTGACTAAGTAAATAAAATTAAAGTTTAGTTATAATATGATAATAATAATAATCAACTTGTAAAATTTTTTGTCTAGTAGAATTTTTATTATTTATCTAATATATATGCTATCTGATATCTCTATAGAGTGAAAAAGTAGATACTATAGTACTTTATAATATTCTTTTAAAATATTAATATATTCTGATATATTTTCATTAATATGCAATATTTGAATACATCTTTCTTATACTATTGCTATTGAATAAACAATTATATAGACTACAATTTTATTATTTGCTGTTAGTTGTTGAATTACTAATCTAGCTTGTGAATAATTTGTATTATATAATTGATATAAATCTTGAATAAATAAATTAACAGTAGTTAATTTTTGTTTAATTAAATCAATAATATCTTGATCAAGTTTATGTTGTTTTGCTATATTATTTTATGTATTTGTGTTATATATAAACCAATTTATTAGATATTTTATTGTATTGGCAAAGTGAATTTGTGATATATATAACTATTAACAACAAATATATGAGGATATGATAAGTGAGCTATACTATTTATATAATCAAGTATTATAAATAAAAATAAAGAGTTGTATTAATAGCTAAGATGACTAAAATTTTCTTATAAATTAAACATATAGAGATCTTGTAAAAGAAGTAATAATAAGCATAAAGGTAGTATTAAGTTTCTTATTTTAGAATTATAACAGAAATTATTTCTTTCTAATAGAAGAAGTTGTGCTTCACAAGTAGAATATAGCATTCTTTATTTAGGTATATATTTATATATTTGACAATTTTTATACATATCTGATAGTGTTTCCTACTAATAGTAATTATTATTATGATTATTATTAATATTATTTGTAGTTATTTCATTCTAATAATAAATATTGTTTGTATCTTTAGTTATAAAAGCTTATTGTTATTTTTATTTTTTTTTTTAAAGAAAAGTATAAATTTAATTATTTTGTTCGTATATATTATTATATTTATAGTTGTTAGTTCTTTTTTTTTTATTTAAATTTTTTTTCTTTTTTTTTTGTTATTTTTTATATAAATAAATATTATTACTTTTAATCATTGCTAACTAACAAATCATGAACTATATACAGTTACTGTAATTATTATAATTATAATTATAAATAATATATAAATTTATAAACTTTATTATATAATTATTTAAATTCTTTACCTATATTGTTATTAATTATTAATTTTGTTCTGTTATAGAGTATATGAATTATATTACTATACTATTATATTTTTATATTAAAATTGATAGAACTGATAAATTATTTTATAAAATTTTATTATTATTTATTATTTATTATTATTATTATTATTATTATTATTATTATTATTATTATTTTTTTTTTTTTTTTTTTTTTTTTTTTTTTTTT